TGTAGGGAACCGGAAAAACGGAGAAATCATCACAGGTCAATGGTCAAAACCAAGGAAGTGCTTGTATCTTGATCTGCAAAATTAATTTCTGTTGTCCAGAGTAATATTTGCAGCTTTTAAGTTCATCATGACTTACATTCAGATAAACATGGATTCAACTCTGGTCTATCGGCATCTTGAATGACACGTTACGAGAAGGTTTTAGGTCTTGCTCATGATGATGATTTGCATGAAGGTAGTCTGTACTAGCAGTTTCGGTGTGTGTGAATCTGGAATTTAACAGTCAAATGGTATCCTCTCTGTGTGTGAATTTATTTTGTTGCTCTTTGTGTTGCTTAAAAAATACTAAAGATGCAAAAAGCCATAAATCTATTGACCGATGCTTATGTCCAGGTGTATTATGAAAGGTAACCAAGATCTAGGTAATTTGAAAAGTAACCAGAATCTTTTCATAAAAATAGAAAATGTTAATGGGAGGGTTTTGGAAATCAACAATAATTGGTTTACCTCCTCCTGTTCGTACAGGTGAAGATGTCCTCTGCAGGTACTTCAGTAATGAAAGGATACCCCCAATCATTGAAGAAAGCCCCTCCACACAACACCCCCTCTCAAGACCAGTGTCTGACAAGCAGTTAGTGAGGGGAACGGATTATATTCGAGGCAGCAGGTGTTTTATGAATACAGACCTCCACAACAGTGCAACAATTCCTTTTCAAGAGGAAGGTGCTAAAAAATCCTCTGTTACTTCGTCCACAAAATCTTCCTCCGCAGAGCCCTCGCTGCTGGTCAGTTGGATCACGAGACTGAAATTGTTGACTCATTGACTACTGCTCACAGGACTGTTACCAAGTGCCTTTGCTCATCAGTCAGACTTCTCTACTTTTCAGCTTAACTGCTGCATAGTGACTAATATGGTGTTCTTTTCCTGGAGAATCTTACGTTTTTGCCGTTTTGTTTGTGATTTTTGATGGATCAGAGGGTTTCATAGTGCAAGGAGGGAAGAAAGGTAATAATCAAGTTCCTCTTCCTGGCCAAAAGCTGAGGGCATTTATTCCCCTGGAAATGAGTAAACTTTCAGTGATACAGAGGCCACACGTGACCTGAAATATGCATAGTGACTCAGAGGAAATCATTGCATTGCCGTGAAGTCCAGTGGCACTTCAGTTATCTGAATGCTCAGAGGCTGGTGTGACTGGCTGGGTGTCAGAGTATGTAGAGCTCAGCAAAGCTGTGTTACTCTCCTGACCAGGAAAGATAAGCAGGGAAACAGCAGTTTCACGCAACTTAGTGATGCTGTTGCAAGTGCTGCATGAGATCAGCCTGGTGAAGAAGAAGTAGTAGTGTTGCCGTTCTTTCTCTGATATCCAGAGATCTTAGGAAGCCTTAGGAAGAGGGTTCTCTTATTCAGAGATCTTAGGAAGTTGGACTAATTTAATTATAAATCAATCCAACCTGATATATAATCCATTTTATTGAAATCACAGTACAAATAAAGAGCACTGAACAACTGCAGTGCTCATCCGTAAAGATACATGGATTGCTACAACATGCCGAGGAAATGCATCTGTAGAGGTGGTAAAAGAATATATTTTTTCCTTAATTGTTTAAGAATGATTTGCTGTTAACCAAAGTAAGCGTTTAAAGACAGTCCTGTTGGACTTACGAGAACTTTTACAGTGGTTCAGTTTTTGAATGATGTGTTGTTTTTATGAAAAATATGTGCTATGATACATTACAATTGTAAGACATCTTGCTATTTTCTATATAGCTCAAATTTTTTCCAATTCAGAATTTTAAAGTAGCATTGGGTATTTTGGGAGGAAAATAAAACTTGTTTAACAAAAGAAGAGGATATTAAAGAGGTATTGTTTAAAACAATGTACATAAGATTGTTAGTATGCAAACAGTTGTGTTTAAAGTAATTTAAATGTTAAATATAGTTGTATATATATTTTTACACTTAAACAGATACAGTTTGTACCTTCCTGTCTGCGGTACTGGGCACAGATTAGTCAAATGAAAAGAAAAAGAAAGACTTTTGTATTCTCTGCTAATTATAAGACTAACTATTTTCGTAGATCATAGATTGCCAACAGCCTTTACTCCTTTGGTCTTGCTGAAAAGCAGAAGAATTTATACTTAATAATTGGTGGGGAAAGAGGGAGGTTAAATGCTAGTTTGCACTTTGGACTGTGGCAGGAATTCTATGTGATAACATGACTGTTAAAAACACACCATAATTCTGGCTGTGAAGTTGTGACCATTCTGCTGCAACCAGCTTATGAATGAAGTTGAGCTACAGCCCTGCAGAGACAGGATGTTAAATTCAGTTCTCAGTTAATTACATTTGATTGTGACTTGCTGGTGATTTAGGTGGGGGCTGGTCTGGACCTTTCTGATCAAAGCAGATTATGTTTGTCCTATGCCACCCTTCTCCACTCCCTGAGATGGCAGTCTGTACTAGACACATGGCCAAATACAGCTGCAGTGCAGTTGAACCCTAGACCAGTTTGGTCCTGCCTCTGAGAAGAGGGCTGAAACTGCCATGTTGTAGGCACTGTGGTGTAGTATAGTCCAGCCCCAAATTGACTGAACTGTTTTAAATTAAATGACAGTTACTGAACTAGATTAAAGTCAGAGATGTTGTCTAAACAAGACTTTAAAATGGAACTTTTGCTTGTCTTTAATGTCCTGTTTTCCATGGTTTAAAAATGAATGAGGAAGCATCATGCATATTGATGTGGAAGAAACTATGGATGTACTCAGTTTCTTTGGGTTGCAACTGGACACGCTTTTAAGAGACTGAAAAGTTTGCTTCCTTTGTTCAGTCAGGTTCTCTCGAAGTTTCATCTAAGAGTAGTGAAATAGGCTTGCCGTAATTTAACTGATAGCTTTAAATCTCTGCAGCTATGAAGAAAGAGGAATTTGTAAGCATTTAGGCAGAACGAAACTTTCAAAATCTGCCTTGTTGCCTAAATACAAGCTAATCCCTCCCCCCCACCAAAAAAAAAAAAAACCAACCAAAAAACAAACCCAACCAACCACCCAATGTTCTCTCCATGTTCATCCTCTCCATGCTCCAGTGTCCTAACCATGCTGAGTTAAGGTACTGAATTTGACCTTTCATCAGTCAGTCATAGGGATATCCAGTAGTTGATTGTCC